AAGTCAAAAAATCGACCCCGGGCCCGCTTGGTCAAAACCCGAGGTTCGGACCAAAATCCTTTTGCTTATTCACCCCTGAGTNTGCTTCGCGTTCACGTTGAGCCGGTCGCATTCGCAAAAGGTAAATCCCCCATCACTTCGCATTCGTGACCAAGCCTTCGCGTTCGCGAAGAAGAAGTCTCAGCCTCATCAGATTACTCTTCGTGTTCACGAGAGGACCTTCGCGAACGCGAAGAAGGATATGACAGACACCAGAATCTGCAGAAACTAGATTTTTTCCAAGTCCAAAACATCCCGTGGCCTATCTGAAACTCACCCGAGTCCTCGGGGCTCCAAACCAAACATGCACACAAGTTCAAAAATATCATATGAACTTGCTCACGCGATCAAATCGCCAAAATAACACCTAGAACTCTAAATTTAGCACCAAATCAAATAAAATTCTAAAGAACACTTTAAAACTTCTAATTTCTCAACTGGACGTCCGAATCACATCAAATCAACTCCATTTCTCACCAAATTTCACAGACATGTCTTAAATATCATAATGAACCTGTAACGGGCTCCGAAATCAAAATACGGACCCAGTACTAACAATGTCAAACATCAATCAATTCTTAAAAATAATTAATTTTCAGACTTTTAATTTTCATCAAAAATTCATAACTTGAGCTAGGGACCTCCGAATTCGATTCCGGGCATACGCCTAGGTCCCATAATTCGATCTGAGCCCGTTTACCAAAAATGTTGACCGAAGTCAACTAAAATCAACTTTTAAGGTAAAAATTCTTATTTTTATCAGTTTTCAACATAAAAGCTTTTCGAAAACCTGTCCGAACTGCGCACACAAATCGAGAAGGGTAAAAATAAGGTTTTTAAGTCTTAAGAGCGCAGATTCGAGTTCTAAAACATAAGATGACCTTTTGGATCATCACACAAATAAAACCCAGAAAAAATTCCTCAATATAATATTCAAAAAGATACAAACAAGGTAATTTTATGTGATCATTGTTCCTCAATGAATGAAGCCTTCAAGAGACTCAACCAAAAGAACAAGTCTTTAGTACAAGAAAAAGCAAGACCAGTAGAGCAGGTGAAAGTATTAGAACACAAACTCCATACAGTAAAGTTTGGGTTAGCACAATCCCAGACTCAGGTTGTCTCTCAGCAAAGGTATAGTCCACAACAATTGAGTTCTCAATCTCAAAATAAAATGGATGACAAGAGTGTGCATTCCCCAATGAATGCAATGAAATCCATTATATCGGATAGAGATACAACTAGTCCGGTTCAAACGGTAGCCGGTAAAGACTTATCAAATTCGTTTATGGTTGTCACTTTACCAAAAAGTGAAGATGAAGGTTCATTAAGCCAAACAAGACGTAGACTACCTAGAACATTGGTACAAGGAGAAACATTGAAAAAGAAAGGAATAATCTCAAAAAAGAAAAAAAAAATGGGAAAATAGAAGATATAGTTAAACAAACATTAGAAAAATTCATTCAAGATAAGGAGAAGCAAGACAAACATATGATCAGAAATTCCAGTCCAGAAATATCTCAGAGCTCAGGAGAAGATAATAATCTAAATTATCAAGATTCTCAAAACCCGAATGATGACTTAGGAATAAATTATCAAGATTCTCAAGACACATATGATAACTTAGGAATAAATTATCAAGACACTCAAGCCCCAAATGATAATTCAGGAATGAGTTTTGATTCAATAGCTTTGCATAATCTTGACACGTAGAAGCAGACCATCATCATAATAGCAAGAATAAAACAAAGAAAAAGACAAAGATAGTGAGAAAGACTCTGGCAAAGGTACAATAATGCAATACAGAAAGGCATCTTCTACAGTAAAGCACAAAGACAAAAAAAGTGAGAAAGACTCTGGCAAAGGTACAATAACGCAATACGGAAAGGCATCTTCTACAGTAAAGCACAAAGACAAAAAAAGTGAGAAAGACTCTGGCAAAGGTACAATAACGCAATACGGAAAGGCATCTTCTACAGTAAAGCAAGCACAATAATACAAGACAGACTCTGAAGACTTCACGTGAACAAGAAAAAAGAAAGATTCTTCAAACCAAATGAAGTCCGGAAATGAAGTCCACAACACCTATAAATTGAGTGTTTCATGAAGACAGAAGATATAACAACTACAATAACCATCTGAAGAAAAACATACTCTCTTCCCTTCACCTACACCAGAAAAACCATTCTCCACGACTCTCTTTGTAAAATATTCCCCTATGTATGCTTTAGTATTTTCTATCTCAAATCTGTAAAATAAATAAAACTTTATGCTTTAGTGTGCAAGTTTTTATTTCCAAGTCCAGTAAACTCTTTTGGGTTTACCGAAAGGGAAATCTCTCTCTTGTAAACATGTAAGTTATTATTTTTATAAATTATGTTTCTGTTTATTACCCCGATTTATTTAAAGCTTTATATTATATCTTTATATCTTTAATTTCTTAGTTGCTAGTTTGTAGATAGCTAAAAAATCACTCTAAGTATTTGGCTATCTTTTCAACTTTTTAATAACCCTGATGGATCAACCTGTAAATTTCTAGGAGAGACCGGTTAAGATGAGCCCAAAATATTGCTAGAAAGACGTTAAAGTGGGCAAATATAATTAATTGTGGCCAGGGTGAGGTTAAAGAAAAAATTGTTAAGAAAAGATCTATATCTTTAAAATGTTGGAGAGAAGAGATGAAGAGAGTAAGAATTTTTTTAAAAAAAGAGTATATAAAATGGGGTAATGTCAATTCATAATTTGATAAAATAGTAGCGATATAATTTTACAGATCAAGAGAGAGAGAGTAACAGAGTAGAATTTTACAACATAAGGCTATCACCCTATCACTTTTTAAATTTTTATATCCCCCTCTAGTATTATTTTATATATATATATAAAAGCAGTTCTTCTTTTCTGATACAGCTGGTTCTAGAAAGTTAAACAAATGGATAATACAAGGCAAACTACATGACATCTTATTGGAGTACAATTTATCTGTACAAATCACTCCAAATGTACATATGCTTCATTTTTATGCTGAAGATACAGAATACATGTGGTTGCACTATTGCATATATAGCCTTTTTTCTTTAATCATTAACATTTTGTGCTCTTTTCCCCCTCTTTTATCTCCTCCTTCTTTTCCACTACTACAACAACAAACAACATATACAGTTCAGTGTATTTTTACAGGTGGAGCCTGAAAAATATAGTGTGTACGCAGATTTTACCCTTACTTTGTGAAGATAAAAAAGTTATCTCTGATAGACCCTCGACTATAAAAAAATATTTCAAAGCAGATTTGAAAAAGAAAATAGTAGTGAATAAGAAGTAGTGTTGAGAATAATGAACTCCTTTTTCCTCTAATACTTGTATGAATTCAACATAGAGTAGGTTCCCCATTATAACGAGTCATCTTGAGGAGTGTTCCAACTCGAAAGCTCAGCATTTTTTACGACTTTTGAAATGCTCTCCAAAACTTGGAAAGGTAATATGTCTCCAATAACAACCACTTTCTTGGTTTCAAGGTCTACTTGGTACATTGTCACCCCTGTTTGACATGGATTTGATTAGAACATCATTTAGAATTACTACTAGGTACAAGATTACTTCATTAAGTACAACAAAATTGATATATGGGTTGGCATACAGACAACATCTTATAGGTCACGGGTTTGAGTCGTGAAACCCTGGAGACACGGTAAAGTTGCCTATGTGTGACATAGATTATCGGTTCGATCCGTGGAAGCAGTCGTTAATGCTGATATTAGGATAAGTTATTTACACCACACCCCTTGGGGTGCGGCTCTTCTTGAACCCTGCATGAATGCGGGATACTTTATGTACTGGACTATCCTATACGGACCACACCTTACATAAATAAGAAGTGACTCAAAAGTTAGAGCTTACTTTCTATAGTGTAAAAGTTCTTTACATGTCAAATTAAAATGATGTATAACAACAGATAGTTGTCTATGATAAACCTAATTTGGTAATCTAAAGACAAAATAAATAATCCACAATACAACTATTATATCTCAATACCAAGCAAGTTGGTGTCAGCTATATATATAAATTCTCACGGACCATGCCACTCATTCACTACTAATAAGATAAGAATTAGTGACTGTCAAATTCTGTAGCTAAATAGAAAAATTCATCGCTAATCCTATTTAACGACAGATTATCAAGAGATTATGTTAGCTACAAGCGATTACGCGATATATTAGCAACAATGTTCGTAACTAATTTTAGTTTTTTTTGTAGTGATTTAAACTCAGATAAAAAAAAATATATGTATTGTCAAATTAGTATACATAAATAAGTTAAATCATAGAAGCTATTACTGTTAAGATAATGACCTTTCTTTCCGTAAATCAATTATGAGGTCAATTTTGAGGAAGTTTGGTAGTGATTAGAAGACACTTTTGTACTAGCTAGGAGAGAGGAGTGACTTGACAATACCTTCCATTTTGGAGATGTGTTTCTCAACTTTCCTTGCACAACCATTGCAGTGTATGGACACTCTTAGCACCACCACCTACACCATATATTTACAAAGTTTAGCAATTAGGCTTCACATTCATATTTCACTTTCTTAAGATGAAAGTTCCCTTTAATCTCAATCATATCATATACACTAATATTAACTAACTCAAAAGAAAATCCTCTAACATTTTTTCGGTTAGATTGTCACATATTGATTGAGAGTGAACAAGTTGTGTATTAAAATTAGACCGTACGTCTAATTCAATCCGAAAGCTAGCTCATAAAGCGAAAATTATCCAAGATTACATAAAGAGACAATAATTTGACTATCAAAGTGGGATGTTCCCACACTTAGGTGGAGGAAATTCCATTTAATCTCAAACAAATCATATACACAAGTACTGTCCAAACTAACTCAAAAGAAATCATCGTTCCATATTGATTGAGAGTGAACAAGTGTGTATTAAAATAGGATCGTACCTCTAATTCAATCGGAAAGTTAACTCATAAAGTAAAAATTATCTAAAATTATACAAGGAGACAATAGCTCGGCTACCAAATGGGATGATCGGAACATGAAAATTAATTTGGAATTGAAAAACATACCTTAGGCTTCAAATGGAAAGCTAGAGTTGGAGGTCCCACATTAATGATATCCTTAAGTCTCACCAAATGTTCATCTTCTGAAGGATTATTCATCAGTGGCTTGCTTTCTAACAAATCGTCATGATTTCCAAAATCATTGATGCAAAAACAAGATCCAGAAGAAGAAAGAGTAGTACTAAAACAGTCTAAAACTTTGCCAAAACTTAGCTTCCTCATTCTAGAATAGCAAATCTTTGCCCATATATATACTTTCAATGGCAATCAAAAGATTAATTCTTCATTGGGAAAGAAAAAGTTTAACAAAGACCAATGAAGCTAGTGAGCAGGAGGAGAGAGTCTGGACTACACAACCATTTTTGTAGGGAAGATAAAGTAGAAGGTAGTAGTTAAAGAGGGGGCAAACAAAGACGGATCCAGAATTTAATATTTAATAATCCTAACAATGGTCTTGTTATACTTTTAAAATTATAGGTGTAAATTTTAATATTTATTAAATTATAGTAATTTTTACATATCTATTTATATCCTATGTTTATATTATGTATGTCCACGAATAGCCTCTCTACATCATATAAGGTAGGGGTAAGGTCTGCATACACCTCACTCTCCCTAAACTCCACTTGTAGGATCAACTGGATATGTTATTATTATTGCATTTAATTATATGCTGTGTGTCGAGTTCCTTGAGTCGAGGATCTATCGGAAACAATCTCTCTATTTTTGTAATGTAGATGTAAGGTCTGCGTACACACTACCCTCTCCAGACCTCGTTTATGATATTACACTGGATTTGTTATTGTTGTTATTGTATATTATGTGTGTCGAAAAAACTGGATTCGATTTAAACATATGGTTGGAAACTCCATTGGTCTCTTGGGACAAAGCAAAAGGCGAAGACACAAGGAAAGGGGCTTTCTAAATGAAAAGCAGTCTAACTGTCTAAGTAGGGAATTTGACATGTGATGTGGAACTAAAAGGCACGTATAATTAGAGAGACAATCTCCAACATATTTAAGGGAGTTCATGTGATATTAGTTGTTAGGTACAGTGAGAGCATCTATTTCATGTGACCATATACAAAGTGAGAAGTAATTCAGATCAAAGTGAAGAATGAGAGAGAAATAGATAATCGGAAACTTAAAGTTGTTTCCGTTTGACCTATAGATCACGAATTCTAGTCTCGAAAGTCATTAATGCGTATATTAGGGTAAACTGTCTACAATAAATCTTTTGAGGTGTGGTATTTTCAGGCCCTGTGTGAACGCGAAATACTTTGTACACCAGCTTATATTTTTTAAGTTAATAGTCACTCAAGCGAAAAAGATGTAACTAGCTAGACTTGTAGTCTTGTATACAGTCAAAATGTTATAAGTATAGTATAAATATTAGAATAAGCAATTATATATACCATTTTAAGGTATTCTCTTTTTGGTGCGCCGCTGGTTATTTTCGTCTTGTAGCACCAAATTCAATTGTTCAAAGTCCAAAGTTTTACTTGAAGTAGTCTCTCCTGTCCCTCCCTGTCGTGGTCAAAAAGGGCAAAAAATTTAATAATTCAGGTTTAAATCTTAAAAATAAGGTTATATGATACATATGCACAGAGGCGGATGTAGTATTATAGTGACAAATTCAATTGAACTCGTAATTTTCGAACAATAACAATAACAAATTCAGTGAATTCTCACAAGTGGGGTGTGAGGAGAACAAGATGTACGCAACATTACATTTACCCTGGAATGGCAGAGAGATTATTTTCGATAGACCATCCATAACTTTTGAAATGGAGTAAAAATTTATGTGAACCCATAACTTTAAAAATATAATAGGTTGAATGTTAAAAACTTTAAAAGTTAAACCGATAGAGTTAAAATCTTGGATCCGTCTCTACGTCCGAGAGGGTATTAAAGAATGTCATACTTATCCCTCTTCATTAAGGTTCTCAATAATATTTAAATAGAAGTTGTAGGTTAAATCCTCACATTTTTTATAGTTAGAACACAAATGGACGGTTCACTGTGGACCCGATAGCTTAACATGTTTGATAAAGCAAGGATTGTTTTATAACCCCTCCTCAAAATACTAATATAAATAACGTCACTTGATGTAACAAGAAATTGAGAGAGCACTACAAAAAATTAACTATGAATTTTATTGCTAATATATCGTTAAATTACTCGTAACTAACAGAAATTTTTTAGATAATATGTCGTTAATCTATCACTAAATAAAATTAGCTATAAACATTTTTATTTAGCTATAGAATTTATCTGTCACTAATTCTTGTTTTTTTAGCATTGGAGAGTGATACCATTTAACTGTTTTATTGAAGCAAAGAGGGGAATATTTGGTGGATATAGGATAAACATATTAGACACATATATAGGGGTCAATGAATATGAAATCTTTGTCTACATGTACAAAAAATTTATACCATTGAGAGAGGGGTAAAGGGCATTAAATTATTGAAGGGGCCATTAAACCTCTATTATTGGTTCATTAAAAGTATGTAGTTTTATTATTTCATCAAGTTTAGTGGTTGTAGTTTCTACAGCTAATTTGGTCCATGTGATAATGGTTCTTTGAGAGGAAGAAGACAAACTTATTCAAGAAAATATTCATTGTAATTCATGTTATACAAATGTCTCTCACGTGAGATAGTAGCTAACAAAAAACTAAGCTGGAAATTTTGGAAGTGTTCTCTTTTTTTCGGTCTTTTTTTAGGATAGGCGGTCTACATTACACTCATTGAGGTACGGTTCTTTTTCGGATCCTGCATGAATGCAGGATGTCTTGTGCAACCGGCTGTCCTTTTTTCAATTTCAGTCTTATGTTTTATAAAAATGGAGTATCACCATCTATCAAAACAGAGGCAGAACCAAGATTTCAACTTTATGAGTTCTAAATTTTAGAAATAACGATTTCAAGTGTTAATAATTGGATTCTAAATTTAATATATATACATATCTATTGATTTTCTTAATATAAATATATTATTGAAACAAAAGCTATTGAACTATTGAGTTCGATCCAACCCATATTTAAACTTCTAGCTCTGCCCTGCCAAAAGCAAGTGTCCCTTTAGAAAGCTAGAAGAGTTTAGCTCTCTACTCCATTCGCATCCATCCTGGTCTGATCCGAACAGTTGTTTTACTGCATTTATAAAATGGGAATTAAGCACAGTTTCACTAGCTTTGTTGACTAGCAGTTGTATGCCACTTCTTCTAATGCTAAACTTGTGTTTTCAATCATGTGGTAGATATGGAAAAAGAAATACGAATAAAAATATCAACGTATTTAACTTTTATGGAAGCAAATTATACATTATATTAAGAAAATTGCTGAAGTATTTCATAGGGGAATTTCTACATCCAAACAAGCCAATATAATAGCGTAGTCTACTCCTTGTGCTAGTAGAGGAGTTAGGATTTTCATTAAGAATAGTCAAATATAAATATAAAGAAATAAACACAATGAAACGCCAAAGAAATTTAACATTTAGCATATATACATAAAAAAACAAAATTATCTAGCTGCATAAATGTAATTTTTCGGCCTAAGGATATCATATGATTGACACTTCTTTGGACAAAGGTGACACTCCACCGCTGCTTTGTGCGGAAAAAATGACTCTACAATGATCTCATGTATTTCGTTTGCTAATCTTCCATATTATATTTTACTAATTTCTATGAAAAAAAGCCGTATGACTAAAAGAATATTTGTAATGGATCATAAAAATGATATCCCCTAATATTAGTGAAAATTCTTTTTTCATTTGTAGAATGTTTGAGTCTATAGAAGAAATAAAGGGCAAGTGCACAGATAGTCATTCTTAGGGATGCTATTTAGAGATTAGTTAATACTTATTTTGCCATGAAATTTTAAGCTAAAAATCTTAACTTCAGGATAATTCAGAATATTTTTGTCCCGAAAATTAAATTATAAAACTAAAATTCAGGATATACTAGCTAATTTCTAAATAGCAACCTTATAGAGTGGTTATCTGGTATCATTTCTACGAGAAATGAGGACTGGACTTTCTTGGCCTTTTGGTGCATGGCCAACCCAAGAATATTGGGCTTATTGGCAGGTCAGGACCCTAGCTGAACCTATTGTGGGCTTCAGCATTTCAAGGTTCAACTTTTGTTGGGCCCAGTGAACATTGGGTATTGTCTGTATTATAATTTATAGCCTGTCTGGCCAAGCTTTCTTTGAGCCAAAAGTATTTTTTTTTTTAAACCAAACGTGCTTTTTCCCAAAAATTGATGTATTTGGCCAAGCATTTGGAATGAAAAAAAAAAGTATTTTTGAAGAGAAGCAGAAACCGTTTTCGAAAAACAGAAAAAAGTAGTTTATCTCCAAAGCTTTTGAAAAGCACTTTTGAGAAAAATACACTTAGAACAAGTTTTTAAAAGTTTGGTCAAACACTAATTGCTGCTCAAAAATGCTTTTCAAATTAATTAGCAAAACACAAATTGTTTCTCACTAAAGCTGATTTTTGCAGCTTGGCCAAACATGCTATTAGGCATTCATCCCTTTCTTCACAATCATATCTAAATGAATTTAACTTACTTAGAGTCCGTTTGGCCATGAAATTTTTTTTCACTTTTTTTGATTCTTTTTTTAAAAAAAATTCGAAATCATTATTTGGCTATAAAATTTCTAATTTTCACTTGAAAATGAATTTTGGAATTTTTCGAAAATTTGAAAAACTCCAAAAAGCTATTTTTCAAAGTTTCACTCAGGATTACTCACAAAAAATCAAAAACAACCCCAAATTATATTCATGTCCAAACACAACTCTAATTTTCAAATATCATTTTCACTTGAAAAAAAATTCTTTTTTTCGGAATTTTACAATTCGTATGTCCAAATGCCCACTTACATTCATGTAAAAGAAAGAGCATTTACATGATTAATGTCTCTTAATCTGTCATAACAGGTAACATTACCTTATTTATCAGGTTACTAATTTCATTTTTATCGATGATTACTTTTAGTTATCATTTAGATAGCGTGATAGTTTATTTTTTTTCGGGTGATAGTAGTTATACTCCATATAAACTGGTGGCACCAGTGGAAGCTTATTTCATGTTGATATCACGTACTCCCTCTGTTTCAATTTATGTGAACCTATTTCCTTTTCGGTCCGTGCCAAAAAGAATGACCCCTTTCCTTATATGGAAATAATTTACCTTTATACAATAATTTATAGTCACATAAAATATATGTGCCTCGATTTACACCACAAGTTCAAAAGTCTTTTTTTTTTTCTTAAAATTCGTGCCCAGTCAAATGAGTTCACATAAATTAAAACGGAGGGAGTATAATTTAGTTAGTCAGATGATATTAAGTGGAATTATACTGATGACTAGAAATATACAAAAGTTTGGTAGCTTTTA